AGAAGTTTCCAGATCACAGGCCCTGGTTCTCACGGGGGACTTCAATCATGCTGACATCTGCTGGGAGAGCAATACAGCAGTGCACAGACAATCCAGGAAGTTTTTGGGGAGTGTTGGGGACAACTTCCTGGTGCAAGTGCTGGAGGAACCAACTAGGGGCAGAGCTTTTCTTGACCTGCTGCTCACAAACAGGGAAGAATTGGTAGGGGAAGTAGAAGTGGGTGGCAACCTGGGCAGCAATGACCATGAGATGGTCGCGTTCAGGATCCTGACAAAAGGAGCCTTATTGAGGGCACAGGAACAAACCATCCTGATGTGCAGAAAGAATAGCCAATATGGCAGGTGACCAGCTTGGCTTAACAGTGAAATCTTCTGTGAGCTTAAACACAAAAAGGAAGCTTACAAGAAGTGGAAACTTGGACAGATGACTAGGGAGGAGAATAAGAATATTGCTCGAGCATGCAGCAGTGTAATCAGGAAGGCCAAAGCAAATTGGAGTTGCAGCTAGCAAGGGATGTGAAGGGTAATAAGAAGGGTTTCTACAGGTATGTTAGCAACAAGAAGAAGGTCAGGGAAAGTGTGGGACCCTTACTGAATGGGGGAGGCAACCTAGTTACAGATGATGTAGAAAAAGCTGAAGTACTCAATGCTTTTTTTGCCTCTGTCTTCACAGACAAGGTCAGCTCCCAGACTGCTGCACTGGGCAGCACACTATCAGGCGGAGGTGAGCAGCCCTCGGTGGTGAAAGAACAGGTTAAGGACTATTTAGAAAAGCTGGACATGCACTAGTCCATGGGGCCGGATGCAATGCGCCTGAGGGTGCTGAGGGAGTTGGCTGATTGCAGATTTCAGAGCCATTGGCTATTATCTTTGAAAACTCATGGCGATTAGGGGAGGTCCCAGATGTTTGGGAAAATGCAAATATAGTGCCCATCTTTAAAAAAAGGGAAGAAGGAGAATCCGGAGAACTACAGACCAGTCAGCCTCACCTCTGTCCCCGGAAAAAATCATGGAGCAGGTCCTCAAGGACCCCATTTTGAAGCACTTGAAGGAGAGGAAGGTGATCAGGAACAGTCAACATGGATTCACCAAGGGCAAGTCATGCCTGACCAACCTGATTGCCTTCTGTGATGAGATAACTGGCTCTGTGGATATGGGGAAAGCGGTGGACGTGATATACCTTGACTTTAGCAAAGCTTTTGATACGGTCTCACACAGTATTCTTGCCAGCAAGTTAAAGAAGTACGGATTGGATGAATGGCTAGATTGTCGGGCTCAATGGGTAGTGATCAACGGCTCAATGTCTAGCTGGCAGCTGGTATCAAGCGGAGTGCCCCAGGGATCGGTCCTGGAGCCGGTTTTGTTCAACATCTTCATTAATGATCTGGATGATGGGATGGATTGCACCCTCAGCAAATTCACAGATTACACTAAGCTGGGGGGAGAGGTAGATACGCTGGAGGATAGGGATAGAGTCCAGAGTGACCGAGACAAATTGGGCCAAAAGAAATCTGATGAGGTTCAACAAGGACAAGTGCAGATTGCTGCTCTTAGGATGGAAGAATCCCATGCACAGCTACAGGCTGGGGACCGACTGTCTAAGTGGCAGTTCTGCAGAAAAGGACCTGGGATTTACAGTAGATGAGAAGCTGGATATGATTCAACAGTGTGCCCTTGTTGCCAAGAAGGGTAACGACATATTGGGCTGATTAGTTGGAGCATTGGCCGCAGATCAGGGGAAGTGATTATTCCCCTCTATTGGGCACTGGTGAGGCCACATCTGGACTATTGAGTCCAGTTTTGGGACTCCCACTACAGAAAGTATGTGGACAAATTGGAGAGAGTCCAGCGGAGGGCAACAAAAATGATTAGGGGCTGGAGCATATGACTTATGAGGAGCAGCTGAGGGAACTGGGCTTATTTAGTCTGCAGAAGAGAAGAGTTGAGGGGGGGATTTGATAGCTCCTTTCAATTACCCGAAAGGGGATTCCAAAGAGAATGGAGCTCGGCTGTTCTTAGTGGCGGCAGATGACAGAACAAGGGGCAGTGCTCTCAAGTTGCAGTGGGGGAGGTCTAGGTTGGATATTAGGAAACACTATTTCAGTAGGAGGGTGGTGAAGCACTGGAATGGGTTACCTAGGGAGGTGTTGGAATCTCCATCCTTAGAGGTTTTTAAGGCCCAGCTTGACAAAGCCCTGGCTGGAATGATTTAATTGGGGTTGGTCCTGCTTTGAGCAGGGGGTTGGACTAGATGACCTCCTGAGATCTCTTCCAACCCTAATCTTCTTCTATGATTCTTCTTCTTCTACGTCATTCAGTACACAGGATGGATGGTGCTCACTTAGTGAGCAGCTATTCAAAAGTTTGTTTCCTCCTCTCATTCAATGTGCAGCACTAGGTCTTATTTGCTGTATTCTATTCAAGCCCTGCTCCAGCCAAATTTGGGCAGATTTTCACAGAAACAGCAAAAGGCACATCACTGACACACAGGCCACTCCCCTACCAAATTTTAATTCCCTGCTGCAAAGCTTTGGATCACTAAAACTTTTAACATAAAGTTTGCCAGCTTTTATTTTTACATGGACATAACAATGTATTTTTCCCCGGGTTTTTTCTATGACCCATTCTGTCTGAAATTTTCATAAAAGGCAGACGCCCATAATAGAAAATTTCAACCCAGTTAACGTTTGCCAAACCTATAAGCAACGGAAAGCATAGTCTCTTAATGGGTACTGTCGGACAACCTTAATAAGAGATGGTGCTGCTAGTACCATCTGTAATTAGAGACAAAAGGCCATATTCTGGTCTCAGTTTACTTTGGTGTAAATCTAGAATAACAACTGAAGTCTATGGAGTTATTCCAGGTTTCCACCAGCATAACCAAGACCAGAATTTGGCCCTTTAATTGTTCCACAGCTTGATGACTAAGGGAACCCAGATAGATCCTAGTGATATTTTCCAGTTCCCTAGTAATGTGCCTTAATATATGAACTAGGGTGACAACCCTACTCGGTTGCCCAGTTTCTCCTGAGCCATAGTTCATGATGTGGCAGTTCATTGTAAGCAGTTGGCGAACAGGCCACTGGACCCCCAGCTGTTCAGATTCCTTCGTGAGAGTCAACATAATTGTATCCCTGCTTGTGTCTTCAGCTTCTCCTCTCTGTTGTTTGTTGTAATGGACCTACCTAAAGTAATTAGACCACCTGTTGCATCGCCAGATTCATTTAAGGGAGCCCCTGCTGCAGTTTGGTTTACATGGTTTGACAGTAATTGTGTAAGTGGATGCCATTGTAATGACATTGCAAAATTAAACTGTAGATTTATTTTAATCAATAAATATAATTACATGCTCATCAGAGCATGAGTATGAGCTTATCTGTAATTAGTTTTCCATACCATAATTTAGCCCATAATGCCAACTTTGTGCACATTGCAGAATGTTGGACAGAAATTATATTTGCAGCAGACTGAATACTTACAATGAATTCAGTTTTACAGTTCAGAAACTTTTAGAGCCCAGGAAAAATATTCCACAATATTTGTAATGGAAGTTTAAAGCAGCTGCCCAAGTTAGACCAAATTTGTTTGAAATTACACAACTGCAAATCCAGAGAAAAAAAGTTCTTCGATATAAATTAACTTACTCCTGATTTACATCAACATAACTGAAAGCAGAACTTGGCCCCTCATCTGTAATGTCCACCACCTGAACAAATCCTAGTAAATTTTTTTGCAGAACTATGTGTGGCATTATAGTACAACAGAGAGGCAGGATTGGTTGCCTTAAGGTGTAAAAATATTAACGTACTTTGTATTTAAATGTGAACTCTTAACCAAGGATCTCAAAACACTTTATAAACTCTCACTAATTGCCCTAATACCCCTCTCCCTGCCATGAGACAGGATTATACCCCTTTTACAGCTGGGGAAACTCAGGCATGATGGGGTACATCTACACTACCCGCCGGATCGGCGAGTAGTGATCAATCCCTGATCGCTCTGCCGTTGATTCCGGAACTCCACCACGGTGAAAGGCGGAAGCGGAGTTGACAGGGGAGCAGTGGCCGTCGATCCCGCGCCGAGAGGTCACGAAGTAAGTGATTCTAAGTCGATCTAAGATACGTCGACTTCAGCTACGCTATTCTCGTAGCTGAAGTTGCGCATCTTAGATCAATGCCCCACCCCCCAGTGTAGCCCAGGGAAAGGTACAATGATTTACTCTGTTACTGATTTAGGAGACCTGGCATAAGAAAAAGAACCTAGGCACACTGACTCCCATTCCTTGCTCCAATCACTGATTAAAACAACAAAGGATAACCTTATAATTGAAACAAAATAGAAAGCTATGTGATGGAAAGTGTAGGAGTAATTCTACATCCATGCATAATATGGGACTATTATAGTCTGAATATGTAGCATTATTGAGGTTGAAGAAACTACATCACACAGTGAAATATCTTTGCTGGTTTCTTATACTGGTTTTACTGTAATTTCAGGCATGGCTTAGTATATGGTTATCACAGTTGTCACTCTGTAATACAAAATGTTAGCAAATATACTCATGATACTTTATTGGTATTTTTGTTTCTTTCCATCCATTTCTGTTTTCTTATCTTGAAGACTAAGTACTGTGGACCCAATGATTAACTTTAAGCACATGCTTAAATCCCACTGAAATCAATTGGATTTAAGCACCTTCTTAAATGCTGTGCTGAATAGGGATTAACTTGAATATGTTCTGAAGTGCTTTCCAATCAAGGCTATTATATTCTAATTGAAATAAGGACTACAGGGATGGGTTTTAAACAGAGTACCACTAACTGCCAGGTTTCAAGTATTCTCGCATCTTTCAAGCCAATGTCATTAAATATGCTGGTAATCAGAAAATAACTTGCCAGGCACAGCCATTTACTAGGTATGTTTTTAAAATATTATGTTTATTGAATATTTTCCATCAGAAAAACAAATATACAATAAAATAAAAGGAATAAGAGGGCAATAAGATGAATTACTTAAGCTTTTTATAATTCTTCTCATTGAGTAAATCAGAATTTCAGATACTTTTTGGCATAATTCTGCAAGGTGTTGAGCATCCTAAGTTCCCACCAACTTTAACAGCACCTGAGGCCACTCAGCAGTTCAAAGGATTAGGTCCTTTCTCCATATCTCAAAGGGAGCAAAAATTAATATAAGGCCAGATGCTGCTACACACTGGTGTTAGCTTCTGCCTTGAATAGTCTTGTTGACTTCAATAGGACTACTTGAGAGGAAGATGCTACCAAACATGAGTATGGGCGTCAGAATCTGGCCCTTAAAAGAGTAACACTTAACAATACATAGAAAAAGCCCCTCCAAAATTAATTGAACAATTTATTCTGGCTTCTACAGCAGAGCCCACTTTTGAGAATAGGCAGATGCAGAGGGGCTGTGTACTAGTGCAAGTTCCATGAGGCACCCTGAATGAGCCAATCAGGGGAGCATATACCAGAATGAGAGATGAAATTGCCTTTTAAAAAGAGTGCTCCCAAATGGACCAGCTCTGCTCCCTTGACCAAGGTGGTACAGCAGTCAAGACCATTGCCCTGACACATCTCACCTCCTTTGGGTTGGTCAGCATGACTGTCATCACTGGACAACTTCAGTCCTACCAAAACAGAAGTCCAAAGGCCTAGACTGTGGTTACTGCTTATCTTGGTGCACAAAGAGAGTGAGTGTGTTGCTGGGATAGGGTGACCAGACAGCAAATGTGAAAAATCGGGATGGGGGTGGGGGGGTAATAGGAGCCCATCTAAGAAAAAGACTCAAAAATCGGGATTGTCCCTATAAAATCAGGACATCTGGTCACCCTATGCTGGGAAGGAGAATGTGGGGGAGATCATGGTTCCCTGATCACTTTGAACACCCATAGTGTGATGGTAGTCACAGTTTCACAGTGACTGTATAAATGAGATGTCTGTCCCTATAGAAAGGTCCTATAGAATTCTCTGGGGATGAAACCAATAAGGTTCCATAGAAACTGAATAGGATTCTATTTAAATTACTCTAAACACCTAGAGAATTTAATAGAGAATAAGACCCTTTCTATAGTATTTTTGAAACAGCTTGTAGAATTCTGTAGTTGTGTATAATTCTTTATCCAATTCTTTAGGAGGCCAAAAACTATAACAAGGTGATCAGTCTCTACTAAGCTCTGTAGCAATGTTGCATAAAGTCAATGGGCAGATTCAGCATGGAAGGATGCAGAGCAGGATAGTGCCAAACACTGACTGCAGCATGTTTTTAATGGGAGTAAAATTCACGTCACCCATGCAAAGCCCAAATAAAAGGATTTAGCAGAGGAGCACCTCTGCAGCCAGGCCACCATCACTGCCTCAGGCTATGGGCTACATTCCACTGAGCTGAACAATTTGGGGACAGTAGTCCTGTAGAATGTGGAAACCCGCCATCCACACCTTCTGCCAATCAATAAATTCACCCACAACTCTTTCGTCAAAGGTCATTGAAGAGAATGATTATGCATTATAACATTCTAATCTAACAACATCCTGGTGACCCTATGTATTTACACCGGTCCACAGAAGTCAGTGAGAGTTTTGCCTGTGTTGGCATAAAGTCCATAACCAGACGGATAGTCCTATTCATGTGATATAGTCCCATACATCAAAACTAGACTCACTGAAGTCAATTGATTATTTGTGGAGTAAGGTGCTATCCAATGGCAGTAAAGATATCAGAATCTGGCCCCATCATGTCAATCCCACAAGCTGACTTTTTTCCCATATTAACAAATATCACAGGCATTAATCTAAAAGCTCCATCACAAAACCTTCCATTAAATTGATAGTTTAAGTGATTAATTTTAAAAGATATGTAACCACAGTCCTAAAAGATCAATTAAATAGTTAAAATAATTGAAAAAGTATAGGACATTAAATTAGATGAAGCCTCATTTTTAAAACAGATATCCTCACTTAAAAAAAAAAGTCACTTCTATCGAAACATTTTTTAACCTCCTTTTGTTATAGATAACACCTGAGATCACTGTAGCTGAAATAAAAATAATAATATGGACTTATGTATTTTCTTCCGTTAACTTTCTTTGTCTGTACGTCAGCACATTGTGTATAGTCAGTTTCACTGTTTCTCTCTATGGTCAGTCAGTAGGTTTCACTAGTTGCTAGTGTAGTTTCTTCACACAACAAGAAAGGAGAGAAATATTGCAAAAAATAGGAACCACAAAAATGGGCAGGGGTACTTGGGTAGGTGTAGAAACTACTTTTAATTTGTTTTTCACTGACTAGATTTCAGGTTGACAATGTGTCTTTAAATAGCAGGGACTCTATTTCTCAGATTGGTCACCCACCAGCAATAGAACAGAATGTGAGCATGAACTATGAAGCCAATTGACTTGGCATTTCCTTTTTCCATCACATTGTAGGGGAAGGACTGTCTCCTGGGTCTGCATTATAGGAGGTCTCAAAAGACAACAAATGAAAGTTGCTGATTAGTGGTTACTGATGACACAGCCTGTGATGGTAATGTAAGTTATACGAGGGTGAAAGATATTCTTTATGGGTGTACTATGGTTTTACCTAGGCTGAACTCTGATATCATCATAAGAGCCATCAAGAGATATGGAAGTCAGTCTGTGAAGTGGCAGCATCCACTTTTATTTACCATAATGAACCAACCCAGGATTATTATTTTTTATTAAGGTGACCTTGCCAAGGACAATCTGCATTTTAGGTTCTCACATGGGAAAATACTGTTTTCCTAATTTTACTGTAGAAAAATATAGATATGTTGATTTGGATTAAGTTGTGATACACTCTTTCCCAAAGAAAGACTAAACTGCCTTTAACAATAATAACCAGGAAAATCTGGGGTTTCAGTCCTGGCTGGGCCACTGATTTACTAATATCCTGGGATCAACACAGCTTCAACAACACTGCATACTACAATGGACGAGATCAAATTTTGCCATCTGAAATGGAAACTCCACAACATGAAGAAAAAGGAAGCAAAACTTAACAGCAACATCTACTTCTGGAGCAAATGCAATAAATAAATCATCATCCCCAGAGGTCTCACCATCTAGAAGCCTCTGACCACTCCATATAATTCCAAGTATGCTAAACCACTCTGCAGATGGACTTCAGAGAAACTGAGAAGCCCAGACTTGAAGAAGAACTCTGTGTGGCTCAAAAGTTTCTCTTTCTCACCAACAGAAGTTGGTCCAATAGAAGTTGGTCCAGATGTTTGTCCATCCACCTTGTCTCTTTCAAAATCCTAGATGTCCTGACTAAGTGCAAAATCCAATTGGAGGTTGAAAATAAAATCCAGTCTCCCATCTCACTTTTCATATTGAGTCAAGCTTAAGCAGGAAAATCTGGGGTTTCAGTCCTGACTGGGCCACTGATTTACCAAGTGATCTTAGTCAAGTAATTTAATTCTGTTGTGTCCATTATCTGCATTTTAAATATTGGAAAACTAACCTACTTCATGGAGGTGTCATGGAGATTAATAAACTCTGTGCACAGTGCTTTGAAGATATGAAGTGTCGCATATTTTAAATGCCCAGTTGCCAGCCTGGCTGTGCTTGCTGGAGTTGGCCTACACCTGTTGGATGTGTAGTGATGATTTCCACTGGATAGGTTATTCAAGTTACTAACTTGGTGGTGGTATTCAGCTTGCTTTATTATTCAGATAAGTCATTTGATGACTAATGGCAACATTCATCAAATAACATTTTCATTCAACCAGCTCTGGGCACAGTTGAATCGGAGGAGCTAGAAAAGGAACTCAGCAATGAGTGAACGAGGCAGGTAAACCTGTTACTTCTGCTGTTCAGTCACATACGCATGGATGCTGAGGTGGGAGGCTAGTCTTCATATTCATCCAGACACTGGTCAGTTGTTGCATGCAGGCTATCATTGCAGCTGGCATTTTTAAGAGCAGATCAGCAGCTCAGCCAGCAGGCAGCAAGCCATTACATTTCACTTATTAATATACGGCATTGGTTGCCTTGGGCTGCTCAACAATAGGATTTCTTTCAGCCCATCCAGATCATTTAATTGGCAAACGTCCACAAGCCTGTTCCAGATGCAACTTCATGACCTACTTCGATAAGAAGTCAGTTGAGTTAGTTTTTCCCTCTGTAAGTGTGAGATCTCCTGAAAAATCCTCACTGAACTCTTGTCTAGACAAGGTCATTCCAGCCAGGGAAAGAGCCACCTTTGATCCTAAAGGTAAAATCTAGTTCCGTTTTGTTAAACTGTCCAGTCCTCTCCATTGTCAATTCAAATGTATTCAAGCCCTTTTGAGAGCCCTATTCCTTTTCTGTCTTGTCAGGAAATCTTCGGGACAGTTTATAATCTAAATAAGCACTGAGACAGGACCATAAAATGAATCGTATTAATATAATTATAACCACTAAAATCAGCAAAAGGCTGGATTCCATATTTAAATTAAAATAATGAAGTAATGTGAAAAAAATACTCTGGGAGATCTAATTATATAATGCAGTATTCAGTGCTGTGTGGCTAGCCCAGCAATTCCTGTTACATTCCAATCAAAGTGATCTCACTAGCATGTGAGAGAAGAGTCCAGCTGACAGATTTGGGACATGTAACGTACTATTTAGTCAAGAGGCCCCATGTGCTATTCATAAAGAATTAACAACTCTTATATTGACAATGACAGTATTGTCAGAAGACCTTTGGAAGGAAAAAAATCTCCATAAACTCCATCTCTGTGAAGTTGGACTTTTTTTTTTTTGCCCCTTTTTTCCAATGCTGATGTAATCTCCAAACATCTCCAGCAGCAGCTGCTCAGCGAAACCGGGCACCTTCTCCCTAGGCTCTTTCAGCAGCACACGCAGCACTTTCCAGTTCCCTCAAGACAATCAGGGCCTTTCTTTCACCAATTAGCTATCACGTCAAGAGCCCCGCGCTGTCCAACAGGCTCTTAAGAATGGTCTTTGCAGGAAACAACACTGGAAGGGATTTTTTGCCTAGACAAATTAAAAGGGGAAGAAGGGAGAATGAGAAAAAAACCACAACAAATCAGAGCATAGAAGCTGTCCAAAATGCATTGCTCAATTAGTACATCGACAAATGCAAAAGCGTCCTCAAGACCAAGCCCAGAGCAAGGCGTGCACACACACAAAAAATGCTCACACTCTCTTTAGGAGATAGTTTGCTTAGTCCAGTATGTTAAGCAGGTTTCACAGAAAGGGCTCTTGTTATAGTAAGTCTCTGAGTTCTAAGAACTAAAAGGGAAAGAAACTCCTGGAAGATTATGCTATGTCTCCCTATTCAGCTCTCCAAATGGAAAGCAACATTATTTGCAGCCGACGTGACAGGAAGGAACTTGGTTTTGCTCACTTTAAACATAGATGGATTGACAAAATGTGTAATTACTGGAACTGCTAGAATCTTGTTTGAACCAGGCACAATTAGCAGGATTCTTTCCCCAGAAGTTGTGCTTTCCATGTAAAAGGGAGATTAAGGTTTGATTCAGAGCCTTAAAGTTGTGCGAAACTTAGAACTTCAGTTCTTTTTCTTTTAAATTAGAGAACAGGCCTGAACCAGAACCTTATTATTATGTATTATTTATATTACAATAGTGTGTAGAGGTCCTGACTGAGACCAGGACCCCGTTTGACTAGGCAGTGTGCAAACACATAGTGAGAGCCAGTGCCTGCCCTCAAGAGTTTACCATCTAAGGCCCAATTCAGGAAAGTATCTCTGTTCAGAAAGAGTACTTGAGCATGTGCTTAAGTGCTGTCCTGAATAGGGATGAACTTAAGCAACTGCACTTAAGTGCTTTCCTGAATTGAGGCGAGGCCAATAGGCAAAACAGACAAATGGTGGCAAGGAGGAAAAAAAAGGCAAAGACAAGTGAAGTGACTTGGCCAAGGTCACACAGCAGTGCAATGGCAGGTTAAGAACAACATGCACGTGTGCCGACTCCCAGCCCAGTACGCCATGCATTAAACAATGTTGCACCCCAAAATTACCAGTCCAAATGTGGTTCAAAATTGTTCTGACTGAGAGAACCTTGTGAGATCCAGCACATTATGTTTCCACAAGGACAGTGAACAGCAGCAGGTAACCACAGACATGGCATAACTGTACGCACACATAGACATGCCATCATTTTGCAGAGAGAAATCTCAGTCTAGTCACTGTTATACCTACTGCACAGCAAGAGCAAAGCTTCAGGCTCTGTAAATGTGTTTTGTTTTGGCTCAGTGACATTAGTGCTCTAAAAGGGTCCAGGAGTTCATTCTCAGTAGTGGGGGATTAGAAAAATGTTCCCTTACCTACCCTGGGGGATTTTTAAAGGGAGTGAGAAGGTATAGGAACTGATCAGATTGCTTAAAACAAAGAAACCCTGATAAATTACTCTTGGGTGCATTTATATAGGAATGTGAGCCAATCAAAATTCCTATGCATGGAAATTCTCAATTAAAGATGAAAAAGAATAATCAGGATTAAGAAGGAATATTTGTAGAAATGTATAGAATAAGACGTATCTTCTTATATATACAAACTTCAAAGGGAGATGACTTTAAAGGGGCTTGTTCTTGCAGGTAGTTCATATGACACAAGGTAGATTTTTCTTTAAAAAATGCAAGGAACTGCAGAGAACAAAAATATTTTGGCTAGTGGTGCATAACTCACTTCCATAGAGGTGATATTTTATTTATTTACAATTTATCATTGTAGATTGATGAGTAAAAAATAGCTGAAAAATAGTTGTTTGTAACTGTATCTGCTACAATACAGCCCTCGGTGTCAGAAGACCTCGGGTCTAACCCCAGCTGTGCCACTGCCTCATTCTATGACCTTAGACAAGTAACGCTGGCCCAGGCCTCACTCACCCTACCTGCAAAATGAGGCTAATGATACTTACCCTCCTTTAGAAAGGTGTAAATCTGCACCTCTGCTTTCTTTGGATGCAATTCCCAGCAATCCGCATAAATCCATCCTTTGTGTCAATTACTTTTTGCTAACTGTGAGCTAATCCTGAAGTCCTTACTCAGGCAGAATTCTTGAGAATGGGCTGCAGGATTTTATTCACAGAGTTCGAGCCTGAATAGCTCATGGGACTGCATTTTCCATTTCTAGGTCATCAGACCCATCTCAAGTTGCCAATGACCAAGAATCATTCTCTTCTAATGACCACTTAAGAGTTATGCAAAATGAATTGTTGATCTCATTCCAGCCCCTAGTGAACAGGTGTCCCCCCAACACGCACACAAACACAATTGGTTCTAATCTATGCCTTGCTGGCTCCTCAGCAGAGATGTCAAAAACAGAACAGACAGAGAGACTGCACAACTACTTCTGCCTGGAGCAGGGGGTGGTCCCTTCAGGAGAGGCTGAGGCATGGTGCTGGGTAAGTGTGCACTATTGCTGCCTGGCCAATACCTGTTCTGCACATAACTGTATACCAGAGCTGTTGGTACTTTCATTCATTCTATGTTTATTCACACAAAGGAATTCTACGTTTTAATTGCTGAAGAGGAAAAGAAAAAGGCTTTCCTGAAGTCATATAGGCCTTCAGAGTAAGGTTACACAACAAGAAGATTAATGGTATAGCATAAGCAAGATAATTCCATATTCCAAATGAAAACTTTATGTGAGCAAACTGCATAAAATACAGTTTAACATGGATGATGATTCCTCTTCCTTTGTAAAGTGCTTTGAGATGTACTAATGAAAAGCACTAGATAAGTGCTAGGTATTATTTGAAATTTTCCATGAATCTCCAATAGGACAATTTTTTCCTAGTGCTGGCATCAGTTTCAATAACTTACCTCTTCAAACAGTCTGCTCTGTATCATACATGAAAATGTATTCAGTCATTCTCTCTGGCCGTTGCTGATTTGTTAAATCATTCTTCAGCTGATCATCTCTACAGAGAATAAATATCACAACAAAATAATGCCCCTAAATAGATGGGTAATATTTATTTGTCCATCTTCACGTGACTGACATCACCACCATTTTCTTGCCACCGATATTTAGTGCAAATCTTCTAACTCCAAACTATTTCCCAAGATAAATTCAGCATTGACTATTTCAGACAGCATTTAGCTTAAAACTATCATACAGTAACTGAGCGTCTTGATAATTGATGGTACCTGTGGAAGCAATAAAGTTCCAAACCATTGAATTATGCATCATGAGTGACCTTCAAAATGCAATGGTAAAAATGCATATTTCCTGTATTACTTTTCTGAATCCAACTACACTACTACTTCCTAAGCAGAGTATCACTACACTGCTAAAAATGATAGAACTATTTAAAATACTCAGTGATATTACATAAGCAATAAGCAGGTATTACATCAGGTAATAACTGGTATAACAGCTGGTGGCTGCTGTAGTCATTTCTATGAAATATACAGAGACAGAAAATGAATTATGATTAGAAAATAGGATATTTGACTTACTTGATATATCACACATTCGAGAATGGTGATATTGCAAAGGGAGACCTGCACGATTCAGCATGGCTAACACATTTCATTGTAAGAAAAAGCCCCAGGACCAACACTTATTACTTAGCATGGCACGTCTGCTGTAGTTATCACAGTGGAAAGGTAAAGGCATCTCATTTCAGTTTACTTACGTAAAGTCTCTTGCACAAAGTCCTCTACGTCAGATTGAAAAGAATGTGACCTTTTAAAAAAGCAACATTAAAGACTAGCTCAAGGTATTTATCTTTAGAGGACAAAATCTGACATGCAAAGTCAACTAGTTCAAAATCTTGTGATTATATGTACATACCAAGTTCTTTCAGTGTTGCACAGGGTCACAACACCTTTCCTATTGCTTTTCCACTGTAATGAATCTCCTAGAAAATACATGGTAAGGAACAATATATCAACATCGTCAGGAGCCAAATTAGATGCATTAATTTTTCCCATCTCTACATCAGATGATTAGAGGGAAGCGTGGGGAAAGGGTTACGGTCCTTACATTAGTATATTATTTATTATTTTGACGGTGCCACCAGTATTCTTGGAATTTACTGGTGAATTTAAAAACGAGGTCCCTGTTTTAAGGTAAATCAAAGATACAAGGAAAGAACAACAGACATGGGCAGTGTAGAAAGAACAATAGCAAACAAAATAGGGAGAAGGGACTAGGAGGAACTGAAGGGATTAAACTGAGAAATCTACCTTAAAAAGATATTTTCTGAAGCAATTGGCAGTTTAACAAGGATTTGGGGATACCTTAGAAACTTGGATTGTATTTTCACATCTGCCTCTTACACATGGTATTATGCTGTCTATTATTCCTTGGAGTTTGTAGAATTTGCTTTTTTCTAAGTGTGGCTGAAATGCAATCCATAAGCAACCACTTGGATTTCTAAGCCAGAATCAGAACATATAAGGCATGTGCAATGATATTTAATAACATTAATAAATGAAAAGGACAGCAGAGTCTATACAAAGAAGCTCTAGTGATGAATGAGATGAAAATACAAAAATACTTAGGCAACTTGAGGAAAACAAGCCTCAGGTAAATACTAATAGAGTTGGACCTATATAGCAGCTCTACTGTAATGATCATACAGTACTGTACAAGCAATTTATTAAGCAGTATAACGTCCCATGAGGTAGGTATTATTATGTCCAGTCAAAGAGGTTAAGTAACTTGCCCAAGTTTAGACAGTAATTTAATTATAAACCAAGTATGCATCTTTTTCTCACTTACACCAGTTTTACGCTTGTGTAATTCTATTGGCTTTAATAGTTACTCAGGATTTACACCAATGTAAGTGTAAGACTCAGGCTTTAAGGGTCTGAGACAAAGCCCATTAAAGTGGATAGGAGACAGTCCAATAACCTCAAGTGGCTTTGGATGAGGCCCTAAGTCTGTCATTTCCCAGTCCTGTGCTTTCATCACTAGACAACACTTTTTCCCTAGTGAATTCATTGTGTTGCACACCCTTGGGAGATTAGAACATGTAAGGAATGGGCTACTACATGCTACATTTCATCTAGTCTAATCCTAAAGAATGCCTTTTTTTTCTTCAAAATGGTATCTGGTCAAAATCTAACTCTGGTTCACCATTAAATTTCAATTTCCAATTTATCACTTTGTCTTTATCCCACACTAGAAAGCTTTGACAGCATAAGTCTGAAGTTACGTCTACCAGAAGGAGATAAGCATGGAACAACTGCAGATTCCACAGTGTTTCTAGAGTGCTGCAAAAATTGCTGTTATAAAGTTTGCATGTGGTAAGGAAAGGTCATAAAACATGTTGTGAGCAAAAATACTGAATTTTGCTTTGCCAAAATGTTCACAGTAAACCAGAATGTTTGGGGAAAATGGGATCCAATTTCTCTCTCTCACACACAAACACACACACACACACACACGGTAAAATGTCATCACTGAGCAAGTTGGCTATATTCTGTTAGAGTGGGGAAAGGACTGTGAAATTTTCCACAGTGCAATGGAACAGCTCCCAATTTTGTTTCCATATTTCAAAATAAAATATGTCATTGGTTTCAAGGTATAATTAAAAGATTTCTTCCATAAACTTTACTTGTAAATTTTGTAAGGGTCTCTGAAACTTTAAAGGTGGAGGATCAAAAATGTGGCCCAGTTCATCAAAGTGCTTATTAATCATTTCAAGCAATGTTAACTATATGCGTAACCCCACTGATGTCAATAGGACATAATACCCACATGAATGATAAATAAATTATCAAATTTATCATAACTACAGTGAATTACAAGCAAATTTAGACTGGAGGTGGGATCCTCAAAAGCAGCTAAGTGACTTAGGGGCACAAGTCTCATTCTCATTTCAAGGGAACTTTTGTACCTAAGTCCCTTAGGTGTTTCTGAAAATCTCACCCTCAATACTTATTGGAATATTTCTTATTACTATTTTTTTAACAGATTGGCAAACAAAAATATTTATATACAGATCTGATCTGAACATCCATGAACTTTGGGGTGCTCCATGTTTTGGACCCAAATTTTGAACAAGGCCCATTTCTCTGAGAGGCTGAAGAAGACTTACAGATTCAGACAATCATAGATTAATGAACAGTTCTGAAATTTTGAAGCTTGACTATATTTCTAATTTTTGTTCTATATATCCATCTCCCTTTCCTTGGGATTGTACACAATGGCTTTCGTGGCACGTTGATTTACACTGGGATTTGCCAAAAATCTTATCATCCATTTCAGACAACACACTCTTGGAGAAAGAATTGCATGGTTATTATGATTCATTATATCTTTACTAATACTGCATTATAATCTACAGTTCACTTCACTGTACCCCAGCCACCCAAATCAAGATGAATTTAATTCATTTCCTTATTACAAAGGAAGACAACACCCAATAGAACAAAAAGGTTTTGGTAAGGAAAATTCAACATACGATATGGTTTTCTTTGAATAGATTTTTCATTCTACTAACAGACAATCCTGATTATTTTTAACGTCTCTCTGCACATGAAAGAAAGAAAGAAAGAAAGAAAGAAAGAAAGAAAGAAAGAAAGAAAGAAAGAAAGAAAGAAAGAAGCTATTTGAAAAAATTACACTGCTGGATTACAAGAGTTGAAAGCTGGTATGTAACTTTGCTCCGGGTGATCAAACTGCTAATCAGGAATGCTGTCAGGAACAGAATGGAATTCCAAATAAATTAGCCATGTCCAAGAAGCCAATACAACACAGGATTAAGGCTTACAAAGAAAACAAATTTATTCAGCCTACTTTATCAGAATTCTTAATAATGTCTATTACGTTTTCTCATCTCAGTCAGAGATCTTCCATTGGAATAGTTTGGAGAAAGAAAAAAATGGGTCACACTTCATAAATCATATTTGTCTTTTAAAACTACTATAGAGAGCTACACATACACACACACACACACAACGGTTATATGCGTACGTACATAAACAAACATGTACACATACACATTAGACAGTTATTAGTGAATCCAGCTACTGTGGAGCTTTGTATATTTATTTTATTTCTTCCAATTTATTTCAAAAGCACATGCCAAAGCACAAGGCACTTTGACAAAAATTTACAAACCTAAAGGAAAAAGACAAACTACAACGACTTGCCCATCCAAACCAAGCCCAAACAGCAGAATATATATCACCCAGTTAAACAATCATATTGTTAAAATAAGTCTTATATCTCACCACCCCATATTTCCCACATATAGTGAAGAGGAGAAAATCCATGCATCTCCACACACAAATTAAATGAGAACAAACTTGTGGTTGAACCATTGGATTAGGACTCAAATTATCTCTGTTCTAGTCTCAACTCTGACACAGTCTTCCAGTGTGACCTTGGACAAGTCACTTGTGCCATAATCATGGAAACACTTGCACGTGTGCTTAAATTTTAGCACATGACCAGTCCCTTAATCTCTCTGTGACCTTAATCTCTCTGTGACTCAGTTTCCCATCTGTAAAATGGAGATCATAATACCATCCTACCTAACAAGGTGTTAAAGAGCAAATGATCAGTATTTGCGAGGTGCTCTGATACTACAGTAATGGAGGCTATATAAGTATTCAGAAGGTCACGTTAACCAGAATCTATCCGTGCACAACGAAAGACAAAAGCTGACTTGACTATGGAATATTCCGCTGTATTCACAAAGATACTATAACTCCAGCTCATTTTACTTATTTATTTTGATGTGTTTCCAAAAGTGTCCCTCCATAACCCTGAGAGAGCACATACAAAGTTTACTATCTAAAATCCACTGGAACTTAAACTGAAAGCAATACTGCAGGCATTTATATGTCTGTTCAATAGGACCTGAAAACCATGTGCTGTAGAAAGCTCCCCTTGAGAACATTCAATCACCAAACTGAAAGGAGCACTGGGGTGATTTTCCTGCCTCTTCTGGACTCATTCATTCTGTGGACACTGCCCAAGATGGCTTATTTCTTATGATCAACTTTTTCATACCTTTTCTTACCTTTGTCATGTTCAGAGCATCCGAGTTTTGTCCTAGAATTCACTCCCAGTACTCCCTTTCCTCTCTGTTCTAAAACCCAACACATTAAATGCTGTCCAATCAATATACCAGTATATTCCTCAGGAACAAAGTTTAAACGTTTCCAGCAAACTGCACCTTGATCTAAGATTCTTTGCCAAGTACTTTTGCCTCCCTATGAGAAAATGTTTGTATAAATGGGAGAACAAATGAAGATGGTCTTTGGTCCCTAACCTCTCTTCTCTGTAAGTATGTGCCTTCCCTACACGGAGGCTAAGGGAGAAGAATTTTGTGAGACCCTCTCATTAAAATATTAGAAACACATCACTGGAAGGGAACTTCTTATACGCTAAGGTCTCAAACCTGCAAATACTTATATACTTGCTGTACTGTAATGTGTAATGTACTGCATGTGTGTAAGTGTTAGCAGGATTGGGACCTTGGCTTTCTGTATTTTCATATTCGTTCTGAATGAATGAAGGCTGATGATGCTAGCAGTTAGGAGCACCACTCCACTCTACTTCTTATAGTTGTGGAAAAAACTGCATACAGCATAAGACAAGACTCAAGTCATGTGCTAGGTTAAATAAGAAACATCCCCCCTTATGAAATGGTGTCATAAATCATACTTTGA